AACCCTCGACGTGCACGTGCACTTTTCCGAAGACCAGGATGAGAGGCCTTTGATCTGAGGGCCTCACCTAGGCATTGCCCACTTAAATCTGGGTCCTGGCCCCCAGGCCCACTCCAAGTTCTTGCACAATATGCACCGTTCTCCTGTCTCCCTCCTTTCTACTTGCATCAGAAGCCCCAGGCCCCAAATTCCATTTCTCCCCCAAACATCTGGCCAGGGTAGAAAACTGTTCCCAACCTTCCAGAGACTGAAACAATTACATGTAGCCAAGTGCAATAACTGTCTCTCCAGGTAAAGCCAGGGGTCTTCATGGAGGGAGGGAGCTAATGCTTTGCACGTTTTCACATTCAAAAGAAATCAAACAACTTCTCCTTGAGTGGGACGAGGCCAAATGCCCAGCCCCAGAGTCAAAGCCCGCACTGTGTGACCAAGGCAGACATCAGACATCCTGCCTGTCATTCTGCCCTGGCCACAGGCCACCTTTTCTGACTGGCAGAACTCTGGGAAAGAATCCATTCTGATGGACAAGCTGTCCAGGCACATCTTGGTTAAGAGAAAAAAAGAGGGGAAGTTACCAGCATCCTGGGGTGGGGGGAGGGGGGGGATGCTCCTTGCTGCTAGCCTTCCAGGGTTCCAGATGCCCCACAGCCTTGGGGCAAAAGCCCCATTCCCCCCCAGCCCAGTTCCCCCTCTCGGCAGCTTCGCTTTGTGACTTCACACGCTGAAGTCACTCCAGAGACAATGCCAAGCGTTCTACCTCCAACAAACTCCAGGCCCAGCCTGCTCAGAGGACTCTCCCGCAGCGTAAATGAGGATGCTGTCGGCCCATGTGGGGAGGGGATGTAGATAACAGCGTCAGAGGCATCGGTTGCTTCTGGCACCATGGATGATGCCACAGTCCTAAGGAAGAAGGGTTACATCGTTGGGATCAATTTAGGGAAAGGCTCTTATGCTAAAGTGAAATCCGCTTACTCCGAGCGCCTGAAATTCAACGTGGCGGTCAAGATCATCGACCGCAAAAAAACACCCACTGACTTTGTGGAGCGATTCCTGCCCCGGGAGATGGACATCCTAGCTACGGTCAATCATCGCTCCATCATCAAGACCTACGAGATCTTCGAGACGTCCGACGGCAAGGTCTACATCGTCATGGAGCTCGGGGTCCAAGGAGACCTCCTGGAGTTCATTAAGTGCCGGGGAGCCCTGCACGAAGACGTGGCTCGTAAGATGTTCCGCCAGCTCTCCTCGGCTGTCAAGTACTGCCACGACCTGGACGTCGTCCACCGTGACCTCAAGTGCGAGAACCTCCTCCTGGACAAAGACTTCAACATCAAGCTGTCCGACTTCGGGTTCTCCAAGCGCTGCGTTCGGGATGACAGTGGGCACATCACGCTCAGCAAGACCTTCTGCGGGTCGGCGGCCTACGCGGCCCCCGAGGTGCTGCAGGGCATCCCCTACCAGCCCAAGGTGTATGACATCTGGAGCCTGGGCGTGATCCTCTACATCATGGTCTGCGGCGCTATGCCCTACGACGACTCTGACATCAAGAAGATGCTGCGCATCCAGAAGGAGCACCGCGTCAACTTCCCCCGCTCCAAGAACCTGACGGGCGAGTGCAAGGACCTCATCTACCGCATCTTACAGCCCGACGTCAACCGGCGGCTGCATATCGACGAGATCCTCGGCCACTCCTGGATGCAGCCGCCCAAGCCCAGAGTCACGCCCTCGGCCTCCTTCAAGCAGGAAGGGGAGGGTAAATGCAGGGCTGAGTACAAGCAGCTGGATGCCAGGCCGGCCACCAAGCAAGAACACAGACCTGATCACAAGCTGGGAGCCAAGACCCAGCACAGGCTGCTGGTGGTCCCCGAGAGCGAGGAGACCAGGCCTGAAGACCGGCTGGCTGAGACATCCAGGAACAAAGACCATCTGCAAGGATCGGAGGTGGGGAAAGCTCACGGCTAAAGGCAGCCGACAGCCTGCCCCTCTCCCCCAGGGTAGTCTCTGTCGCATAGCTTCCATACAAGTAGCTAAGTAGGCAGGTGGGAGCAGAAGAAGGCGCAGGTGCAAGGAAAAAGTAAAATCTGTCAATTAAACCACTATTTTGATTACGTTCTATAGCTTTCTTCCCACTCAGTAGCGGAGATGCTACTTGCTAATCACCAAATAAATCACAAAGTCTATACAAGTGCAAACAATGCACCGTGAGGAGTCTTTTTCTCTAGGACATGGCGGCAGGGCCAAGGGGCCTCACCACCCTCCCCAAGGTGGGGCTGGGGTGGGGGTCTGCTCAGACCGGGTCCTGGGGGGCAAGAGGCACCTGCAGAGAAGTCGGTGGTGAAAGCAGGTGTCTATTCAACGAGGGAGCTCCCTGGGGGTCAGATCCCAGGCTCCGGGGAGAGCTGTAGTGGCGGCCACCCCTACCCCCACCCACCCTAGGCATCTCTGTATTCTGCCCTCGACACTAGTATCCTGTTCCAAGAGGCCTGGGAGATGCCCCCAGTATCAAACCAAGTTCATCAGCTTCCAAAAAAAGCTTCCTTTCCTTCCAGCACTTGGTTCGATTCAACAAGCGATTTATTAAGTGGGCTAGGTCTAGAATTCTGGACCTGGAGTCAGCAGACCTGAATTCAAATCCAGCCTATGGCACTTACTAGCTACATGACAACAGGCAAGTCATTCTCAGGCCCTCAGTCTTCCATACCCATAAAACAGGGATAATACTTTTCACACAGTGTAGCTCTGATGCTTCAATGAAATCATTTCCATAAAGCACTTTGGAAGCTTGAGAGTACTAGATAAATGTAAATTATTACTATTAACTACTAGGGGAACAAGACATTGAGAATTTAAAAAAAAAAAAAGGAAGATACAAAGTCAACTATGACATGGCCCAAGGAAATAGCCCACCATTGTGTTCTAGGAGCATTTCAGGAGCAGCCAGGGAAATGAGGGAAAATGGCTTCAAAGGCTCAAGGTATGAACTGGGCCTGGATGATAAAGAGACCTGAATCTAAGACCAAGAGAAGTAAATTTCAAGAACAGGAATCAGCCCACAAGAAGGCAATGGCGGAAGGAGGGAGGCACCATGCCCATCTCCTCTCTGTCTCTCAAATCCATCCTTCCCTACCCCCAGAACTACCATTCTGGTCCATGCGGCCATCACTTCCACCCTGCACACACTGATATGATGACCTTTCTCAGGTGCAGTGCTGAGCAGGGACCTCCCCACTCCAAATCCTTCATGGACCCCTATTACCATGGCCCTACAGGGAATGCCATCCCCCTCTAAGCCAAATGCCACCTGTCCTTCCAAATCCAGCTCAGCAGCCCCCTCCATAAAGCCTTTCCTGACCACATCACTGGAAACTGTCCTACCTTCTCTAAGTCCAAATTAACCACTTCCTTTCTATTCCACTCACTTAACAGCAACTGAAAACATAGATTTAGGAGGGGAAGGACTTCAGAAACCATACCAATCAACCTCCTTATACAAATAGGAAAACAAAAACCTAAAGTGGGGAGGTGTTCCCAAGGTCACCCAGAGAGTAAAAATAGCAGTCAGGCCTCCAACCCAGACCCAGCTTCTAAAGGCACTCTTCCTCACTGTTATCTGGGCATGTCTCGTTTGCCTTTCTATCCCCTATGGCGCTTTATTCATCATCAACTCCACAAATACTCACTGACTGAAGACTAGTGTTACCCTAGTAAAGAAAATGAACCCTTGGAAACTCCCCAACCCCTCCCCCAGGAGACCACTGCACCCAGGGAACCAGCCCCTGGTTCCCAACGACCTTCTGGGGCAACTGCTGCTGTAACAAAATGCAACCCAACTGGGACCATCACCCGCACACTCTTCTTCCCTTGGGCAAGCCTGCGGGTTGTCTGGCTGAGGGGCTGACAAAGGGAAGGCAGCTGGTCCCTCCCTGTTTACACGGTCAAGAGGCCCGGGCTGCACTCAGACATTTATTCACCAACAGACTTTGGGCACATCGCCACCCCCTCTGGGCTTTAGTGTTTTCCTCTTCCAAATGGAGATGAGAATAACTGCACTGCCCACCCCATAGGGTGGTGAGCTGTAAATGAGATAACACGACTAGGGGGACCCCAGTTGTTTTCAATCCTTCAGAAGTCTTCAAACAACGGCTAGCTGTCCAACAGTCGGCGGGGGGGAGTCTAAGGGAGGGAGGGAGGTAGACTCTCTTCAGGGATAGTTTGGAGTTTTTAGACAAAATAATATAAAACTGAGGCAACACAGAATGTCTGTCTTCAAGCATTTAGAAGGATCTTAGCAGGACATTTTAACCTTGTTCTGCCTGCCTCCAAAGGGTAAACTACGAGCAGTGGGGGGAGGGGGAAGGGGATGCAAAACAACATATTTAAGGGGGAGGCAACGAATATCCTTTTAACAATCCCAACTCACCAAAAGTGGCTACCTGCCTCAGGAAGAGATGGCTTCATCTTCACTGGAGGTCTTCAAGTAAGGACTGAAGGACCAATCATTCAAAGTCAGGCACTCTAGAGGGGACCTCGGCTCTCGGGTCCTTTCCAACTCTGAGACTCTAATTTAGGATGACTCTACTGACCTGAACTAAGAAAAGAAGCCCCCGCCCTTGGCCTCCAGGGACACACCCAGCATGGGGAGAATGGACAGGGAGGCTCAGAGAGACAGAAGAGCAACGGAGGACATTGGCAGACCCGCTTCTAGGCCTGGAGTGACCAGTGCCCAAGGAGTGTCCTGAGAGGGCACCTCGGCCAAACTCGTCACTGCACAAATGGGCAACATGGGAGGCCACAGCCAAGCAGAGCAAGCCTAGACCTGCCCAGAAAAGGCCGTAGTATGCTGAGACTGGTGGGAAGATCGGTGCGCCAAGACTTAAGAAGCCCCCTTTAAGCCCTGGCCATGACCTTTATCAGCTATGTGACCTTGAGCCAGTCCAGTCCACTCTCAATCTACTTCCTTCTCTGTAAAATGGGGAGAATAATCACGCACACTCTCACAAAAGGGAGATAAAGGACTTTTAGAAAACCACTTGGTAAGGTGTAATTTTGTGCTACAGGCATACAAAAACAAACCAGAACATCTCAGAGGCACACACCCAAGTTTCTGATGAAATCTTTCTGGGCAAGACAGGGTGGTGTGGGCCGAGTGATAAGCCCTGGAAGGATGGTGTTGGCCTCTCAGCCTGAGTGACTTTCCATCTCTCTCTCTCTCTCTGCACCAATTGTTGAAGGCCTAAGGCCTCAGGAGTGGGACCAGAGCAAGCAAACATGGTGAGAGCCCACAGCATGAGACTGGTAGCCATAGCTCTTTTTTCTGTGAGGGAGCTCGGGGGCCTTACAAGGACCCTCCTCGGCTCCCTACGCTCTTCCCAAGCAGCCAGCCAGCCTCTGCTCGCAGACCTCCCCAAGCTGCCACCTCCACGTGGAGAGAGCCCCCTGTATGAAACTTCTACCCACTGCCCCTGGGCCTGCCTTCCAGGGCCAAAGAGAATGAGTCTCAGCCCTCTCTCTAGGTGACAGTCATAATGACCAAAGAAGACAGGGCCTGGAGCCCCAGCTCGGACTCTTTAAGCCAGAGCACCACAGGAATGTGCACTACTGCTACTGTCCAGCTCATCCGCATGACTTGACTGCATAGTGGGAGTGACCACCATGAAACCTGAGGAAGACACGAAGCTGAGAGAGGCCGCTAAGATGGCCAACAACCAAGCCAAGGTCCAGAAAGGATCTCAAGGGGCTAAGACGGCCTTTGATGGTCCAGTCCCACATGCAGGCTCACACAGTTCAGGCTCCAATACAGAATGGGAACAAGGCTGGCGAGGGGATGCCAGGTCAGGGTGGGGTCTCCCTCCCCCTGGGCGTTTTATCAAATCCCCCAGAGGGAGCCCAGGTTCTGGGACCTGAACACCAGGCCGAAGGCTCCATCCCAGCGTCTTCTCCTCCGCGAAGGCGAGCGCTCGTATCCCAATTTCATGGAGAAAGGAAGTGCTAAGAGATGTGTTCAGTGTCATCATGCTCCTGAGGGTCAGGAGGAAGGACCTTGACCCAGATCCAAGCCCACCAAGCCCTGCCTAGACCACGTGGCCGACCCAGATGAGGGAGGGGCCGTGCAGCCAGACAGGGATGGGAACCCAGGGAAGCTTTGGTTCAGCTTTTAGTTGGGCCTGACCGACTACCTGGGTGCAGGTATGGCCGCTCCATGGGGGCATTTCCATCCCACCTGACAAAGCCTTCTGCTGCCAGGGAGGGCCGTGCTCTGCCCAGGGCCCCCAGTGCAGGGTCCTCAGAAGAAGTCCGATGCTTTCCGTCTCTTGGGTAGCTGCAGGAGGTTGTCGGTGATGGAGGCGGGGTCCTGGGTCAGAGGAGTCCTCGTGGTAGTGCCGGGGGCGGGAGTGCCCGTGGGAGTCTGAGGACCGCCTGCAGGCGTCTTGTAGCCAGGGTGAACCGGGGATGGCGTGTAGCTGGCCCGCAGGGCCTTGTCGGTGTATTTGCTGGCGGTCCTGTTCACTAGCCGCTGCAGGGCTGGGGACATGGCTGGGCTCAGGCCTTTGGGGGTGAGGCTGCAACAGAGGGAAGGAGACAAGGCACAGACACTTAGGGGGCCCTGGGCCAGCAGCCATGAAGGGATTCCAGGGCACAGAGCCCGCAAGGCCTGGCTTGGACATAAGCTACCTCATGCCCTCCTTGTTTGAGACAAAGCTGAGGCCAGAGATTCACAACCCTGGGAGAGACGAGGCTCCGTGCCACCCTGAGAGCCTGCAGGCCCTGAAGACTCTTGAGGGCCCAGCACTTCTGCCGGGACAGGGTCACCCCAGCCTCCCCAAGGCCTCTGCAAACCCAGGGGCACAATCCTTTTCCTGAAATGAAAAGGCTCATCTGGGTCAGCACAAGACAGCAACCCACAAGTGCGGGAGAAGCAAGCAATGGTGCCCTGCCCTGCCCTGAGAGAGGGATAGACGGAGCCTCACCTGGCCAGGTTCTCCGTGACTCTTCTTAGGGCCTCCTGTTTCTTGGCTCGGTTCTTGGCAGCTGCCTCAGTGGCCATCTTGAGACCTAACCTCTCTCTGCGTCCAGGCTCCAGGATCTGGAGAGACGGCAGACCGGGTAAGGGTCTGGGGAAGGCCTCCAAAGCACCAGGCCGTGCATAAATGGACTTGGCCTCCCCCCTCCCACATTCTGCCAACAGCCACACCCCACTTGGTCCCTGGACCCAGGCTGCCGGCTGAGGAGATGGGCACAGACTCGCCACCACGCACCAAGAGTCAGACGTGGGGGGCCCTCCCAGCACAGGCCTGGCGGCTTCCAGCCAAACTGAATGATTTGCTCTATACTGGCCCATCTCACCAATGTGGCAAATGCCTGCCACGTCACACCGCAAGTCTCTGACGGGAGGGGAGCGGGTCCTCACCTGAGAACCCTCCCAATTCCCATGCAGAGCAGAGTCAAGGCAGGGGCTGGCTCCCTTCCCCAGTATTCATCACTGCCAGCAGCTACCTAGCACTTTACAGGCATCACCTAAGGGAGCCTCACAACCAGCTGGGGAGGCGGGTGCTTTCATGATCCCCACTTTACAGCCGACAAAACTGAGGCTGACAGGGGTTAAGCAATTTGCCCAGGGTCACCCAGCTGGATGTGTTGGAGGCTCAAGTCTGGCACTCTGACCACTGCACCACCCAGCCTCCTCCGCTGTCAACTATCCTTCATTCACCCACCTCACAGGTCTCCCATCCCCTTTATGAATGCAACAAACTCCCTGGACTCATGCTAAAAAGGAAAGGCTTCTATCAACTCTCTGGGGTGTCGGCCCAGCAGTCACTGGGCCACACATCTGCATTAAGGGCCTTCCAGAGTCAGTGACTGGTGACTGGTCTGCCTACATCTCGTATTTCTCATTCACTTCAGCAATGCAGGCTATCCTCGGGATAGGGCACAGGGCCCTTTCCGCCACGCCATGCCATGCCACGCCATCGGGCATCAGCAGCAGCCAACACCTGGGGACCAGCCTTGGTGCGCTTGGCCAGGCCTCAGCCTCAGGCCCCACCCCTCCCCGACAGAATCTCCCCAGACCTCAGGGTCACCTTCACGTCACCACAAAGCACAGAGGAAGGCTCTGCTGGAGGGCTGCGTGTAGCAGGCTCCTTCCTAGAAGCCCACCATAACCCTCCTCACTTTCCCATTCTCTACAGCTGGCCTGTGCATTCTCAAATGGTCTGGACATCAAAGACATCAGAACTCCTAGCCAAGGCAGCTTTGGACTGGCACCACCCCCAGGCCTAGACTCAAACCTGCAGCAGAACCTGCATCCTCTTATCTCTGGAAAGGGGCCCCTGGCATTAACCGAGGAACAGCTGAACAACTTCTGTTCTGTGGCTTCAACAGAATGTCACCACGTCACCAGAAATACGAGAGAACATTCTGGGAAGGCCCATCTGAACTGATGCTGAGCATAGGGAGCAGAAGCAGGAGAGCCCTGGACACAGTGACCACGATCTCGTCAGAAAAAATGCCTTTGAAAGACTCCAGAGCCCTGATGGACGCAAGACTGAGGAGGGCGTGGCCGCCTCCTCCATCTGGGCAGAGACCAAAATGTAAGTCTGCAGATGGAGTTTCAAAGGGCAGAACGGAGAGCAACCAGGGGAAGTCTTGGGGAGTCAGTCAGACTCAGGCTCTCAGGCTGAGCCAAAGTGAAGCAGGCAGCGGGCGGGAGGGGCATTCTCACTGTCTGGGTGGAGGGAGGACCAGCTGTCTTTGGGCCAGGCCTCCACGTTCCCCAGACACGTTTGGAAGCCGAGGACTCTGACGGGGAATTTGCTGAGCCCCAGAAGCAGAGAAGAAAGGAGAGGTGTGCTGCCCACTGTGGCTGGCTGGCCATGATATGGCAGATATGAAGACCAGACCATCCTCTGGGTCCCCCCTAGAATCCTCACTCCAAGTCTCCCCAGCAAATGGTCATTCACTCACCCTCTGCCTGAGGACCTCCAGGAGAGGAAAAGTGCCACCTGGAGAGAGGCAGCCCCTTCCTTTCACTGCTCCTGGTTTGGCCCTTGGGGGCCGAGCTGAACAAGGCTCATGCCACACAGCCCTACCAGGGTATGATCCTAGCCATCACGGCCCACAAGAATGTCTGGGAGAAATGATCAGTGCCAATCTGGAAAGCTCAGTGGGCAGAGCCTTCTGCAGACCTGCCATCGGATGGCATGGAAGATCCTACAATCTTAATCAACAGTCAATAAGTATTTATTAACACCTGCATGTACTTGGCACTTTGCTAGACACCAAGGGTACCAAAACAAAATGGTCTTTTCCTTTAGGGAGCTTATATTCTAATTTTTTGGGGGACCCACTTGCCGTCAAAGGCAGTGAGGTCAGTCTGGCCAGACCTCTTCTGGATGAGGCCAGGCCGGGTCTCTGGGATGGCCACAGAAACTCAAGGCAAGCTCAGGAGCCTCTACATGCAGTCTGCAGACTGCATGCTCTTCCCTTTTGGTAAAACCCACACATCTATCACTCTCCCCATCTCCACAGAGGCAATGTTCCACAAGCACTTTCTTCTCCCAAATTCCCAACACCCCCCTCCCCACCCTGAGACACAAACATACACACACACGCACGCACACGCACACACGCACACACCATACCTTGAAGGCGGGCCCTGGAGTTCTGTCCACATATGGAGTTTCTGACCCATCAATTCGCAACGGGGTACTCTCAACCTCTCCCCATGTCATCATGGGAGACTCGTTCACACCTAGAGAAGAGGCCAAGGCCAAGACAGAGACAGTGAAAAGCAGCAGAGGCAAAAATATATGAAGGTTACGGAGAATGGCTGGGAGAAGTGGGACAGGCCAGGACACACAACAAATCCCAGCCCCTGCTTCTCCTCTGAACCCTAGCCAGGGCTCACCCTTGCCTGGGAAGCCCGGTCCCAAGGGGTTAATCCAGCCTTGGGGGCAGTCTTTAACTCTCGGAGTCAGAGCCTAAGGAACAACTCGCTGCAGGCCCACCCGCACTTCACTGGCCTGCTCAGAAACAGGAGCAGAGAGATGATTCCAGGCCCTTGGAGGTGTACAGAGAGAACAGACGATGGGATGAGGACAAGGAAGAGAATGCTGGGTGTTAAGTCTACCAAAGCTTTCATTATCCAAAGGGCCTGAGGGCTGTCAGCAGAAGGAAATACAGCTCAATGGATTTCCTAAACAATTTCCACTCAAGCTTTAAAAAAAAAGCCAACAACATCCCCAGATTCCTGGGCAGAAGAAACTACTATTATCACTGCCAACTATATGATCAATACCTAAACTGATAATTGTGATCAATATCAGAAGCTATTGCTGTCTCTATCCATTAGTAAGTCCCTGGAGGGCAGGGGCGGTCTCAGCTTTTCCATCTGGATCCCTAGCACTTGTACACACCCACTATGCTATGTACTACGTACATACTAAACGTTTAATGAATGCTTTCTCATTCATTCACTCACAAGAAATAACTACTTCAGCGTGCCACACGGCATGCAGATGGTGTGGCGTGGAGATAACCTCCAGCTCTCCACACACTGCAAGGCTGGCGAGCCTTGGAGGACGGGCCTGGCCAAAGACAAGTGAGCTTCCCAAGGGCCGACCCAAGCACACAAAGGCTCATCACCAGCACACCGGTCCCCAGGATGATGGATTCTTGGGCTGCCTCTGCAGAGACAGTGGTGGGATAAAGGACAGGAGGATGGAAGCTGCTAACAAGCCAGACAAGTCCAATGACCGATCACACCAATCTGGACACGCTCGCCAGAAACAAAACCAGCAGCTAAAGGAAGCTGTGCCCGGAGGAGTTTTCCTCAGAAGGACAAAGAAAGCTTGTTTTGCCAGGCATCCAAAGACAAGAAAACCCTTCAGAGGGTATGTGTTCATCTTCCATTGCAATGCTGATAGTGTCTGCAGAAAAAACCCCTGGGACACACGGGTGGCTGAGGTGCTAACATTAGCTGCAAATTTTGAGGAAGGAAAAAAAACCATTCTGGCAAGAACCAACCCCAGCCTCCCGTTAGATCGCCAACGACGCCAATGCCAAGCTGGGCAAAGGGGAGGAGAGGGAAACACATCATGCCTACTTCCGTGACTTCATGCAGAGTAACCTCTCTGGGCAAATGTGCCAGCTGAACTGTGTGACCACTCAGATGCAGCTCTAAAACCGTGACCCTGGTGTGGAAAATATGGTTTGAAGCACAGAAGAAGAGAAGTCACAGACGGGCGCACACCACAGAGAAGCCTCTCTCACACCTACTCTTTGGGAATTCTTTCTTCCTAAGAAGAATCATAAGGGTCTGAGAAGCATTAAATACGATCACCAAAAATGGAAACCAACTCTATTACAACAAGAAAGGACTTGTTAATGAAATGGGAGCTGTTTCCAAATCGGTGTCTGCGTACAGTTAGACCACTGACTTGTGAAAGCTAACGTAAAAATGATCACAGAGCTAGAAGGAATTAAAAATGAGAAAAAGGCATACTGGCCAATTAAAACAATCCTAATCTGACCTATTAAAACAATGAAAATGGGAAGCAGATGGAGGAAAAGAATGACACAAATTCTAACAACTCCACAGAGAAGTTCAACCGATGTAAACTGCTCACCACAGCGAGGACCAAGAGTACCTAAACAGCCCTTTCATCAGCTAACCGCGCACCTCCTTACCAGGTGAATGAAGAGAGATGGCGGCCACGGGCAGGGTACAGGACTGCGGACAACAGCTCTTCATAAACAGTGAGAAGCAGCAGACAGTAAAAACCAGTTTTTTAAAAAACCTCAAGACAGACCCAAAGACAATAAAAGATGTAAAAGATCTGCAGAGATTTCCATCACCGACTTTTTTCACCACTGAAGAAAAGAGAGCCGCCATATTTGAACTAACTGCAGTTCTGGATGGTTAGAGAGGAAATGGAAGCAACAAGGAAGAAAACAAATATTTAAGAGATACCCTGGTCGGGCCTTACGGTCATTAGTATGTGAAAAATGCTCTATAATAAAACAAGTAGATACGTCCTCATTAAACACAGCTGCCACTGATATGGAGGGCATCTTGCCCAGAGCACACACAGGAGAAAGATTCCCTATGGGTGGCCGAGCCTCCCAACGTTCTTTAATCACAAACCTCACACTGACCACATGAAGCCCCTCAGCGCTAGAGAACCTCCTAAATGAGATCCACAGTCTCTCAAAGAGTCCGGCCCAACGGCCCATGCAGGAAAAGCCACGCAGAGGAAGAACGCCCACTTCAGATGGACAAAGCAGAGAGCACATCTATGAGCACCACAGGCCTTAGACGGATGCCGTGAATGCACACTGAATCGGACCCTGAACCAAACAGAAAGGAAGCCAGCTAGGCCAGCCCTGGGAAACCTCTAAGTGCTTTACCAGTGCCAAGATTCTCCCTCAAGCACAGGCCGTATGTTCAACAGCCATCTTCTTCCAACACTGGTGGGCAGCACCAAGCCACAGAACGTCAAAGTCTCCAAAGACTGACGCTGAGACCACCAAAAGGACAAAAGGGAGGCATCTGGGAGGCACAACCTGGCTGCAACACGCGACATCTGAATGACGAACGATGAAGGAGGAGGGTGGAAAGGAGGGTGTGCTGGTCGCCCGGCGAGAGCCCAGGAGGACTGAGGGACGGCCCACGCTGGGACAGACACAGTCACAGCAGGCGGGCAGGCGGACATGAACAAAGGAGAGTGCCACCGCTCAAGAGCGGCTCAGCCCATCAACTATTTCACAGCTGCTCCCATTTCTAGAACGCTGACATTTACCATGGGGTCTCTGGACAAAGGAAGGACATGTGATGATGTCATGATCCATATTTTATCTAGGAGGAAACTCAGCCCAGAATGGAGAAAGGATTCACCTGGGGAGGCAGAGCCGGGACCAGAGCCCGGGCCTTCGTGCCCGCTTGTGCCATGATGCCCTGGGTGCCCATGACTGGGGCAGCCCAAGGATCATCATTCCCACAGCTCACAGGTGAGGAAACAGAGGAAGGCACCTGTCCAAGGTCACAGGGCTCAGGAAAAGCCACGCCTAGAACCCAAGGGTCCTGACTCCCAGGCCCATGCTCTTGGCATGACTCTGGATTTTCAGAGCAGAAGCCCCACATCCCCTGGGATCTGCCATCCCCCCAGAGGCAGCTAAAACCACATACGCAAACCAAGAGCTTCTCTTACCAGGGGCCGGAGAAGGGGTGGCAACGAATCCATACCCATTGACCTTGGGAGACTCCTGGGGGATCAGCTCCTTGCCGTCGGGGCCCACTTTACCCTGTTTGTACTGAAATACAAAGAAAGCCGCAGATGACCAGTGTGCACAGGCGATCGATACTGTCCAAAGCCTTAGACGCTCCCAGCTCCAGCCAGCAAGCTCTGCGGCCTCCTCTGGCGAGGGGCAAAAGCTCTCTGCAGCAGCCCTCGGGCTGGGGAGCAAGCAGCACCCCTTTGCTACCCGAGTCCAGAAAGGCTGCTGCCTAGGGCCCACCTCCCTGGTCCCTTCAGAGTCCAGGCCCCAGGGGCTCTGCTGTCTCCAGAGTGCCTGCCCTCAGAAGGCCAAATGCCCTGGATCTCCAGAGGGCACTGATGGGTGACTACTTGGGCTTCTTGGTTTGACCAGGACGTTCAACAAGGAAGGAGCTTTCTCAAGGTCAGAGGCAGTAGCATGGCAGGCAGAGCTGGGCTTTGAAGCTAGGTCACCTCAACTCAACACTTCGATTATCACAGCCTTCAAGGGAGTCCCCCTTTTCCATCCTCTCCTCTCCCTTCCTGTCCCCACTGATTAATCTTAACACTCTCCATCTGCTACAAGGAAGTCCTTTGTTCAAGATAACACAATTAAGCACAAACCTGAAGTTCTTTCCTTAACCATCCCACCCCTGCCCCACACTACTGACTCACCAGGCTGGTCACCCCTGTTCTGACATAGGCCCTGCAGATTCCTGCCTCTATACCTGTCTATGCAGTACCCCCTACCTGGAGCACCCTTCCCCTCTGCCCCACCTGGCCCTCCCAGTCTTAGCCCAAGCCCCCTCAGCCTCCACCAAGTCTACCCTGACTCCTCTCGCCCACATTTAGAGAGTTCACCATCAAACTTGGCCCTTCACTGAGCTCAAATGGTTTCATGCACTTTGACTGAAAACCAAGACCAGGGCAGAGGTGGCAGCTTGGGCATCCTCCACCAATACCGGGCACCCGGGAGCCTCAGTGAGACACGTCCCCATTCAGTTTGATGCCAAACCCTTCCTCGGACAGCTGAGCCTGCCGACGAGCCTTCCTGGCCGAGGCAAGCCACCAGGGTCCACACACCTGGGCATTGAGGGCAGCCGCCTGCTGCAGCTGGGACTTGCTCAGGGCCTGGCTGAAAGGGTCCCTGAGAAAACGAGTGTTTCTATGCAGCACCTGCCGGGGCTTCTTAAACACATCCTCCTCATCATGGACACCTGAGGAAACACAAGCAGGAGCCACACTCAGAACAGAGGCACTTTGGGACCGTGGGCGCAGCGCACCCTTTTCTAGGCCTCAGTTTCCACAATTATCCGTGGCTACAATAAGAGTCACATGGTTTCCAGGTCCAGGCCAGGGACTCCCCGAAGCATGCCCACCTTCTGGAATGACCAAAGGGGAACGACAACCTCCAAAAGCTGACCCCCTACCCCCACCGGGATGGACAGAAATGGCTCACTTCCTCCAGGGTGCCAACAAACTGGATTCCCTACAACAGCTACAGCCGGGGCCAGAGCAGGTACAATTGTGACCATTTCACTGATGAGAAAGTTGAGGCACCACACAGTGGGCTGACTTGCTCAGGGATAAACAGTTAATGTGAGAGCCAGCATTTTAACTCAGACCTCTTGGTTTCAAATCCAGAGCAATTTCCAGTATGTCATGTGGCTTCTTCCACAAAGGAAAAAACACACCCCCCACCCTCCCCCAAAGTAAACTTTCCGAACAAATATCTGAAAAGAAAATGCCCTGAGGACAGCCAGGGCACTACCCACCCAATCATTATTTCCCAGGCCCCCACCCCAGGCCTACTATCCCAGGCCCCCATCCCAGGCTCCCATTCCAGGATTGTGATCAGCAATCCCTGGGAAACCTTTCTCCAGCCAGTCTCACCCTCAGGGTAGTACATCAGGGAATTCTTGGCCTTGTACTTCCAAGTCTCTACTCCGGCCTGGCTGCTCTGCAGGGCCTGCTGCTCGGTGGATGGCAGGGCCAGGTTCTCCTGCTGCCTCTAAAAGCAGGAGACAAGTGAGAGGGAGCATCCCTGAAGGCCAGGCTGAGTCAGCTGCCCTGCCTTGCCATCCCCATACAACACACACTTGGGGGACTTCAGAAATTCAGGAAATGGAATTTATAAGAAACACAAAAGTGAAATCCCATCTCCCCTGCAAGTCCCCAGGTCTTTCAAATGATCAGTGACTGTCCACAAGAGCTCCCAGGAGGGCCCCAAGTCATAGGATAACAGTTGGAAAGGACCTCAGAGATCACCTGTTTGAACTCTCTCATTTTACAGAGGAATAAACAGGCCCAGAAAAGGGAAATGACTTGCCTAAGATCACACAGGTAGTCAGCAACAAATGAGGATTTGAACCCAGGTTCAAATCTCAAGTCCTTAGTACCACCCAATGCTGCCTCATGTTTGAAAATGAATTGCAATTTCATTCTAAAAGGCCGCCCTGGTCACTCAGGACCTCTCCAACTGTGGGAGGGAAGGGGCTGAAAGCAACTGCCGAGGGGCAGACAGACAGTCCTGGGAATACTGTGAGAGACGGAAGGGGCCAACAAGACACAGCAAAGAGGATGGGTGAGGAGGCCAGCAGCAGCGCAGGGCAACAGGGAGCAGAGCAGACCCACACTTGGCAGCAGAGTGTGAATTCAGCCTGAACATCTGTTAGCCACACAAGCATGGAGGCGAGGAATTCAACCCTCTGAGCCTCTGTTTTGATTCAAATCAAGTTTGTTAAGCTCCTATGCTCTGCAAGCCTGTGGTGGTCCCAGGAGACCCAAAGACAGAAGGGAAGTAGTCACTGCTCACCAGAAGCCACCCTTCTAAGGGGCCCAGAGTACAGAGAGTAAGTACCCTGAGGAGGGCCCCAGAGGCCATTAACAGATCCCAAGGCTGCCGGGAGGCCCACCTGAGATGAATCTACGGCAAGTGCTTCCCATGGACCTTGTGGTGCTCTGGGTACCGGCTGCTCCCAGTAACTTCTGGCTAACCCAGAGCCTGGCTCACCCCAATGCTGAGAGGCAGACACTCTGAGAGAAGCTTGGGGGCCCTCTCCCTCACCACACTGCTGCTTCCCACAAATCAGGGAAGCTGGGCCGTGGGCAACACAAGGTCCCTTTGCCAAGAAAGCTCAAGAGCCCAAGCTCCAGAGTGAGCCGCAAACACGGAACCTCCCCTGCCCTCCCCTCCTCCAGCCCCCTCCCCTGCCTGGCTTTCCCTGGAGCTCTGCCTTCTCCATGAAAGGCAGCCGAGACATCCCAGAGATCTCTCCTCACCTTCTCAAACTCATCCTCCGCCTCATAGAGCCAGGCATGCCGTGCTCTCTCCTTCTCCTTCGCCACTTCCATGATCTCCTGGAACGAGGCATTGTCCTCACTGGTATACCTGGTCAGGAAAGCGTCGAGACTAGGAAGGTGCTCTTTGTCCTCCTCTTCCTCTGCTTCTCCTGACCCTGACAAGGACAAGAACCCAGAGTACTCTGAGGGACGACCAGCAGCGAGCCCCTCTGCCATCCTGAGCAAACCCACCATGCCCCCATCACAGCCAGGGCTGGGGCCACCTCTCCATCCTGTAACCTTGAACAAATCACTCACAACTCTTTGGACAGTCAGTTTCCTCCTCCCGCACAAAGGCGATGGATGACATCTGCACTCCCACCAGACCAAGGGAGTATATGGAAACCACCTGAGACACAGTCTCAAAGAGCAGGCTGGCTTTCACCCAGAACAGCCCAGATGCCCTCCCAGCAACTGCCACTTAGAGTTCGGCACATCTCCGCTGGGCAGCCGGCAGTGAGATGCCAGGCTGGGCTAGAAGGCAAAAGCCCTAAAGACAGAATCACTTCTGCACATCAAAGACTCGGCAGAAGCAACAGAGTTTGCGCCCACTCACAGGGGGTCAGCAAAGCCAGAGAAACGTCACTCCGGCTCCCGCATCTCCGGGCAGTGCCAGAGGCTGAGCTCATCCTCACCGGGCCTACACGGCCACCAACAGCCCCCCACAGCAGTGCGGACAGGACGACCAGTGGGGGAACTTCCCCAGTGAAAGCACCCCTCAGCAGTGACAAGGGCAAGACCACTTACCTTCCTCGGGACCTCTGGCACGAAGTCTGGGCTTAGTCGCCAAGGAGGTAGTACCCGGGTGAACCTCAGGGGTCTCAAATGTGGCTGGAGTCACATCTGAGAAATAAGAGAGGAAAAAGGCACTGAAAAAACCGGGTCCCTGACCACCAACTTTGCCACACTTTGCCCAGGACAAAGACGGTCCTACTCCTGAGATGCCAATATCTGCATCCCTCTTCTCCCAACGCCAGCAGGGGGACCCCTTTAAAGCCTGTGCCATTCCTCCCAGGTTAGGGCCAGAGGGTGCTCTGTATGGGCCCGGCCCCCCTCCAGAGACTCTTACATGGCAGAGGGGTGTCTCTGGACAACTTGCCCAGTGAAGAGCCAAACTTGATTGCTATCTGCCGCATCCTCTCCAGGTCCCCACTCTCCTCTGCCTCCAAGTACTCCTTCTGAGCCTGCAGCTTCTCCACATCAGGAAAGAAGTCCCGCTGAATCACTGTCTGGAGGCCCTGGGGGAGAGGAAACCAAAACACAAAAAGGGACGTGTCAGTGAAACCCTCAAACCCTTCAGCATCCTCATCTGAAAAATGGAGATGAGGTATGCTTGCTCTACCTCCCTCCCAGGCCTGGGGAGAAAAACACTTTGTAACCTTTACAATGAGACAGTGTTATTCGGGAGAGGGGTTCCAAATGCCCATCAACAGCTCACATTTATTTTCCCAAAATGGCTACTTCCCAAATGATTACTACATGGCAGGTTCTACGCTAGACACTTGTGGACTCCCTGTGCATACAATACGGGCTCAACATCTAAGGGAGAGAGACGACATCAGCATGTGGAAAGTTCAGCAAAGCCAAAAGATCTACGTCACAGCACAAGACAACACAGAGGATGGGCAGGAGGTGCGAGGACAGAGCCAGGTCAGTGGAAAGACAGCTGGCGTTAGGCTCGGTAAGGCCAGACTGGAGTCTCGGCAGACGTGACCTCGCCGGATAGCTGGGAACAGGCAGAGCAGGCACTGCGCCGAAACCCGGGGTCTTCATCTGACATATAAAATAAAGGAGGGGGGTACGACGACCTGCAAAGTTCTGGATTTTCGGCTGTCGTTCCTCAGCCACCCCACAAGGGGCAGAGTCATGTGGAGGAACCAACTAGCCCAAATCCCTTCACATGAAAGAGAAGGAAGCTGAGGCCCAGAGGTGTGGCTCGCCCAAGATCACACAGCCAGCCTGCAGCACCCGAGTCTGAGGGCCCCACAGGTCTTGGTCCAATGACGCAGGTTGTGACAGACGAGGCTGCCATGAGAAGTCCAGCTGAAGTGCTAAGGGCCTTCCTCAAACTCTCTCAACTCCACCAAGATGTCCAGCGACACACGCCTGGCCTTCTCATTTTCTTATGCATTTCTGGGATGACACCTTTAACCAATCCCCCCCCCCATAACTCTCCACTTTTACTATAAAAGGCCTTTAAAGCTTCAGGGGTCACAGAAAGGTGTGGCGATTTCCCAAAGGCCACCCAGCCCCCTCTTTTCCTTCTGATGAGTTCGAAGCCCAACTCACTGTCTGTTTGCAGCAATGCTCGCTCGACAGGGAGAGATTTCTGATTCTAAGGATACACGGTGAGGTGACCAAAGACAGAAAGGGACCACATGCACCAACATATGGTAAAAGCAAAAAACAAAAAAAAAAAGGAAGCCGAGGAGCAGCCCTGCAGTGCCACGAGGTGAGGCCCGGAGGAAGGGAAGACCACCCCTGAGAAAGGGCCGCACAAACGCAGTACCGAAGGTGAGGCGACACGAGAGAAGGATGAGGGCCTGGCAAAGCGCAGAGGGCGACAAAACCCAAGTCCGACGTGAGCGAGCCTGCCTGGGTGCGGGGAGCAGAGGAAGAGATCGGGCATTTATCGAGTGCCTACTGTGTGCCCGGGACTTTGAAAACAGCTCAGGATCTTCTAACTCCTCTACTTCCACTCCTTCCCTTCCCTCCCAAGGGAGGCGAGGGGCTACGGGGATGTAGTTAACACAAACCGTTGGGCTCTGCTGACAGAATGGAGTCTGTAAGGGGTGGGGGTAGGGAAGTAAACGTGGAAGTGAGATGACGTCAGAAGGAAAGAGGGCCCAAAACACCCTCGTTAAAGTGTCAGGAAGGCCACGGTTCAAATTCGGCCTGGGACACTTCCCAGCTGTGTGGCTGAAGACCAGTTCCTTTCCCTCTCGGGTTCTCAGTTTGCTGCTCTGTAAAATGGGCTAACCGCGCTGGCAAGGCCACGAAAGGGATTTAACGAGCGGCTCAGGGAGGCCAGAAGTTGTCAGTGCTGTGATTACTCTCTGATATTATCAGGAACCCCCCGCGGGGTGGGGGAAGGGGACATCCGAGTCTCCGCTGGGGGCCGGGGCGGGGTACGGAAGGGTCGGCGGACCCGAGGATCCGGGGAACCGACACCGCGGGAGCCAGAGCAGGCTGAGACCCGACAACATCCGGGTCTCCGGCCCAGGGACTGGAGAGAGAAACATCCGGATCGCCTCCGCCTCAGGAAGGGGCGGGGGGAAGGGGAACGGAACATCCCGAGCTCCACCCTGGGAAAGGGAGGAAGAAGGGAGGGAGCAAGGAACATTCGGGTCCTCAGGAAAAAGGGGGGGAGAGAACGTCCGGGTTTCGGAGAGGCATAGGAAGAGAAACATCCGGTTCTGGGCAGGATTTCCGGGTGCCCGCCTCAGGAAGGAGGGGACATCCGGGTCTCTGCATCGGGATGGGGGAGGGGAAACATCCGGGTGTCCGCGTCAGAAAGGGGTGGGGAACATCCGGGTGTCCGCCTCAGTCGCAGGCCGAGCCGGGGCCGCCTACCTCGATGTACTCCTCCTCGTCGAGGACCCGCTTCCTCGTCTTCGCCTCCGTCACCCGCTTGCCGCGCGCCCTGGAGCCGGCCAGGGCCGTACTTTGCCTCCGCAGGGTGCCCAGCGCCCGGGCCGCAGCGGCCGGCGAGGCGCTGCCCGCGCAAGGCTGTCCATCTCGCTGGGCCCCCGGGGCTCGAGTGCGGCCTCGCAGTGGAGCTGGGGGAGGGTGGGAGACCGGGCGCTGATGACGACACTTCCGGCGCGCGCTCGTCACAGTGCCGCGAGGGCGGGGCCCGCGCCTAGCGGGGACTCCGGAAGGCGCGTGGCCGTGGCCGCCAACAGCGCCTGACGTAAGGGGGCGGGGCGCGTTCCGGACATAGCGACGTGGCTTGCCGGGAGTTGTAGTCTCCTGCCTTTGGGCGGCGGAGATTGACGGGCAGCCCCGGGGGTAGATCTGGTTCAAATTCCTCCCGTGACGTGCTGTAATATAACAACAACAATAATAATAATAATAGTAATAACAGTACCTAGCAGGCATATAGCTCTTTACATATATCTCATCGGATTCTCAAAACAACCCCAAGGAGGCAGGCGGGTGATGCTGTGAACCCCATTTTACAGATAAGGAAACTGAGGCAGGTGGGTTAGTTTGAACTCTCCAGGTCTAGGGCTCTTAACCACCTAGCTGTCTCAAAACGGGGACAGTAATATTTGCACAGTTTACCAAATAGGATTGTGAGAAGAAAAGTACTTAGAAATGGAAACTTCACTTACAACAATATCATTGTAATCGGTAAAAATCTAATAATAACAATGATAAAAATGACAGCATTATTATTTCTATTTCTACTACTATGGCTAACTTCTTCCCCAGATGCTGCCACCTGGGACACCAGGCTCCTCCCTGCGTGTCCTACTAGGCTGTCATGTAACCAGGACAAGCCATTCACCCTCTTGGGCTTCGCTTTGCTCATTTGTAAAATGAGGAAGGGTCCTACTCTGAATATATGGTCCTGTGACCGCTAGCCGGGCTCTCCTCTGCTCTCTCCTCCTTCTACCTGCCTAACTACTTATCTTCAGACACAACTTCTTCCTCATCTCTCAACGTGGCTGTCTCTAAGGCTCCCTCCTGGGCATACTTTCTCTCTAGTCAAACTCCCACGGTAATTAAATGAATTAAGCAGCAGGGGGCACACTGGACCTGTTGACAAGAAAACTAGTACAAATCTCACTTTTATACTAGTTTGTATAACCCTGAGCAAGTCACAGCCTTTCAGCCTCAGTTCTGTAAAAGGAGGATTATAATAGCACCTACCTATCTCACAGAGTCATTGTGAAGATGAAATGACATAAGGTTGTTAGCACTTTGCAAATCTTAAGGCACTGTATACAGGCTAGCTGTTACTATTCATTCCTGTACTTTCACTCGGGTGACTCCAAAGCCCGTCTCCATCCCTCACCTGTGCCTCCTGAGCCCCAGAACCAAATCCCCAGTAGCCAATACTAAGTTCCCAACATTTCTGAATATGAGGACCGCTCATTAATGTCCAAAAAGTTGGTGGACCTCAACATGGTAGTATTAGAATCTGTTATTAAATATGTGATAACAGAAACTATCACTTATGCAAAATAGTTTACCATAGTGGTGTGTGCTACAGCTGCCCAAAAATAACACTCAGACATTTTCTAGGTATAATGTGAAGGATTGATTACATCCTCGCGAGAAGCGGGCGTCTGCTTCCACCAGCAGTCCCAGGGAAGCGAGGCAAGGCACAAAGGCCAGGACAAAGGTTATATAGCCCTAACACAGAGATACCCACCCACCACTGGCTTTGAATTCCCATTGGACAGGAATTTCAGCCTTACAATCTAAAACGCGACAATCTATCCCAGAAACAAGGAATCTCATTATAACACTATCAATCCTTAGCTATTTTATCCTTTTTTAGTAATTAGCCACTACCTAACTCTGATGTAACTGGGAACCTGAAACTTAGGCCTATTCAGGCTAGTGTAACCAACCTTGAGTTTGTAACAGTCTAAGAAGTTGCTATGGCTCAGTCCATCTGAGAGATCTCACATCGTTCACATTGTTTCACTCAGTTAAAAAAACCAGAGTCTTGACAAAAGTTTGCAAAATGAGAGATCTCTTCATTGACTTTCTCGAGAAAGTGTACCCCCATGCTGCCTCAGCTGCCCTGAGAGTTCCAAGTGCTCTTTGTTCAAGGTAAGGCTACATAGACCCCAACATAGCAGCCCACCCTAACCCCCTTCCCTTGGGCTCATTGACTGAGCCTCAGGTGTACAATCTATTTGTGTAAAAGCTACCCCAGCAACAGAGAGAACAAAGAGGTATAGAGATTGTGTTAGCACGTTCCCCTCTGCAGGGCCTCACAGTTTCAGCGGTCTTTTACCCAAGGTCATACAACCAGCTAGAGGACGAGATAGACAGGATGCTCCCGTGTCTCAGGAATTTCTGCTCACACTATCCAAGAGTAGGAGAGGGAGAAGGCTAGGGGAGGGGGGCTTGTGTTCTGAGGGGTCTTCACTTAGTGTTGGTCCACATGTACCACTCAAAAGCAACAATACCAGAGCCATTAAGGAGAACTAATGACCGTCTGAGGAGGCCTCACTTCTGAGAGATCATCTCTCACAGGGGCATTTACGAGTACTTGAAAAATAACCATGCCTGTGTAGCAGACATGGAATTGACCTATAGAAGCCATCTCAGGGATCATGTTCCTAGAGGTCCCCTAGAAATTTATGGGGGCATAGGGGTATGGTAATTCAACACTTCAACTAGAAGTTGAAGAACTTCTGGCTACTTTCAGTCTTGTGGGCCAGCAGCAGTTTTTCATGTACAGCTACTGGTCCCCAGGGGCTAGGGCACTGCACCCACTCCTCTCTAAGATGCCCCTCAGCTCTTTATCCAAGCACGTAGTCCCGATCCAGTTCAGTCCTGGAGAGCCTGAAACCTAATTAGGAGGAGAGACTGGGTTCCTTTTCTCCCAACCTTTGGCTCCTTAAATTTCTGCCCTAGCATCCTGCAGACAAATTATTTAAAACTTAGATTTGAGACCCATGCCTAGGTTTTTCCACAAAGGGGAGTAAAATGTATTCCATGTACAATATGAATCAGTCATGGGACAGGTATTTTATTCCTATATACAAAAGAAATGTTAAACATCTAAGATTCACCTCAGGCATTTCCAGAACAACTTAAAACAAGATTCAGTAACTGTGAACTCCTGTTTCAGTCAGCTAGGCAGCTGATACTTAAACATCAAGAGTAAAGCAATTTCCCAGAATGCCGAACCTCTTGGATTCACGAGGTTTCCTACAAGCCTGTAAACTCTCATCTTGGAGTTGATGCCCAGTCACCTCCTGAGGAGGAGAAACACAAAGTGGGAAAGGCATCCAAGGACTGAGCTACAAGTTTACCTAAGGAAGTCATCCTCCTCTGCCACGTAAAAGAGGTTGCCGTGATCCCACAGTGAGGAGGGGGCCAGCCCAGGTACCCCACCTGACACTGGAAGTCTCAGCATTATGTGAGGCCTTTTGGAGAGTCACATGAAGAGAGCCAGCTGGAAACCGTCTCTTCTTTTAACTGCTGTGACACTCTGTACTCCTGTTGCTGTCATGGGGTCAGGGGAAAACCAAGAAACCGCTTGGGGTTTTCTCCATCAGGGCAGAGCAATAAGTCCTCTCAATACTTAGCCAACACCTGCTTGAAAGAGCCAGGAAATCTGTCGCCATCAATGTGCCCGAGAGCTTAGTAATCATTCCCCTGGTGTGTCCCCAGATGTTTCCAGGGCTGTGTGGATGTGATTGGGAATGTCTAGTTCCCGGAGGCACAGCAAGCCAAGCTCTTTAGAAACAGGCAGCTAATTAGTCTAATTGACTAACATAGGTACTTATTTCTTCCTGTAAACATTTAGGATGCCTCTGTCCCAAGCCTCTATCTGATTTAGGGTCAGAAAATTCCTTTAACTCTGAAGACTTCCTAAGACATGGCATCCATCTTAGATCATTTCAGGAGCTATGTCTGAAGTACCCCAGTTTTCCTCAGTTGCCCAGGTTCTTGCTATGCAAGTAAATATGAGTAAATCAAAGGCTAAAGTGTGCATGGTCATGATCTTGTGTCTTCTTGGTCCACGTTCCTTTATCACCTAAATATGAATGGCAGGCTTTAAGCTACCCTATGCCATCTGTGTTAGACGTTATTCTGGAAAGGTCTCATCTCTGACAAGTGGCAACAAAGTTTTATCAGTTTTCTCACTTCTCAGAGATTTTAGAGCAGTGATTGGTGGAAAAACAAAATGATATATGAAGCTTTTGCTCCCAGATCTATCCTCTGAAATCTTTGAGCATTATAATTGGTTGCCTGGCTAGGTTCTCAGAAATTTTCCCAAAGCCCATGAAGCCACTATACTCAGCTACCCATTAGCTCACTGGGAATTTGGATAGGGGGTTCATTCAGGAATGCAGGTTTAGCAAATGGAAAAGAACAAAAGAGACCGATAAGATTGTTCATTACCTAAACCACTGGCTTAGTCCCTAATTCTCCAGAACTAGGCTCTAATAAAGCATAGTACCTCTATAGGAAACGTAAGCAGGTTAACATTCACCTAGGGCTCTTGTTGAATACTTAGTATGTATAAGATGGGTCACAAAACAAACACAAGGGAACAGAAGAGGCCTCTAGAGCAGGAGCTGAGAGGAATGATGTTACCCAAGTTTCCTGCTATTCTGTCCAAAGTAAATATTTTGATATTCAGTACAGGAAGTTGTTATTCATTCCACTGGAGAGAGAGTGCCAAGGGTGTGCCCAGGAAGAGACTTGTTTGGCCTTCCCAAGTCCCTTTTCTTCTTCTTAACAAGGCACTAATCTCTTGACAAAGTTAGCTTTTTGGTAAGATGTGAAGAATGCTGGCTTGGACCATTGCCCTGGCCCCTTTAACATAATATCAAGCATGAGTAATTGATGGATTGAAAGCCAATTCATACACGTGAGCTGTACCCGGATTTGACCTTTAAAAGGGGAAGCAGAGACAAGGAGAGAAGTCGAGTGCAAAATCAGATTCAGTTGCCTTAAGAAGGCTGCTCCCAGGAGAGCAGCTAGGTGGCATAGTGGATAGAGCACAGGCCCTGAAGTCAGGAGGACCTGAGTTCAAATCCGGCCTCAGACCAAACACTTAACACTTACTAGCTGTGTGACCCTGGACAAGTCACTTAACCCTAATTGCCTAAAAATTTAGATAAGATGGTGAGTGGAAGCCCAAGCCAAGCAGCAAGGAGCTCCTGATCCAGCTGAGGAGCCGACCAGGTGGCAACCAGAGTGGAGCATAACCCAAGAGAGATCCACAACAAGGGGGAACACGTGCGAAGCTTGCCCTTTGTGGCTGTGTGAGTGGCACAGACGGTTCAAGTCCACAGAAAGGGGCCAGTTTTCCACTGATTCCCAAGTGCTTTTGGCTATGGAAGCTTCACGTTGCCCTAAGACATTGGAGACACGGGACAAGTCCCTGGGGAGGTGGTGCATGCTGGAGCCAGGAGGAAAGTTACTTTGACTTTTATGGGCTCAGGTGTAGGTTCTTTGCCTCTTTGCCCTGTGTGCAGTGATTGTTTTAGCCAGAATGCTTCCATGGGAGCCCTTTTCATTTGTTGGGGAGACGTAGCTATGAGCCCACTTCTGATATTTCCAAGGAAAACCCTGAGGCAGAGACACAGGCCAAAAAAAGAGATTATAATCACTGAGAATCCTCCAACATTGGACCTGGCTTATTCAGTTCTAGGCCATGAGTTGTGATAATAACTAAAGGTGCCCATAACCATCTCCCCATCCCCAGGAATGGGCATCTCCCAAGCTCACGAGTCTCTTGTGGAGCAGAGATGGCAAACTGATTCTTCTGAGCTGGTCAGGACCGGTGTATTCCTAGGGCAGGATTCAAACCCTACTTTCCTCGAGTCCCAGTCTGGGGCTCACCTCGCTCCCAGGACTCAGTGCAGAGAGGATGACAGACCAGGAGGGGATCTTTGAGGAGGAGTCCAACGTACACATTTTATTGAAGCCACATCGTTTTGGTTTTTGTTCTTTGATGCCTTCTGCTTTTTATGCCACAATCATTTCCTGATATGCCAAAGAAAAAAAGGGCTGAGCAACACCAGCTAACAGAGTGAGCACACCCACAGACACCTACCCCCCTTCCCATCCCACCAAGACGAGGCAAGTGTCCCACCATCTCTCCTCGGGGACCAAGACTGGTGAGCTGAGGCCAGCCGCTTTTTCACTCTTGTGTGTTCATCAAATCTGTTCTCCCCGTTCTGCCCCCCTTCCCACCCCGCCAAGACGAGGCAAGTATCCCACCATTTCTCCTCGGGGACCAAGACTGGTGAGCTGAGGCCAGCTGCTTTTTCACTCTTGTGTGTTCATCAAATCTGTTCTCCCGGTTCTGCTTCCCTTCCTCTGCACCCGTTCCTAGGTGTCTTCCCGCGTTTGCCTGAATCCTTCCTGCTCATTGTCTCTTAGAGCACACCAGGGTACCACTACAGTCATAACCAGAGGGATGTCCCACAACTGATGGGCAGGCACCCTCCTTGTTTCCGTGTTTTTCCAGCCACTTAAGGAATGTTTGGGTATTCATTCAGTTCCTGCTCTGGTGCAAAGCCCTCCACTAGGTACTGGAGATACAAAGGTGGGGGAGGGACTTGCCCAGGATCCTACAAGGAGGTGAATGACAGAGGCAGCATTTGAACCCAGGCCCTCTGACCCTACATCCATCATTCTTTCTCCTATTCCCCAGGATTTCAAGGCATTGTTCACCATGATCTGAAGGTGAGAATGTCAGGAACAGTGGGGTGTGGCTAGGAAGAACACCCCTGAAATGAGGCTTTGTCTGGTCCCAGACAGGCAGGACCTCAGGCCTGATAGATTCACTCGATTTTTGTCTCCCTCCAAGGCCCAGCTCTGCCGCCATCCCCTCCAGGGAGCCTTCCCTGCTTCCTCTCAGTGCCCCTCGGTTTGACCTTTCTTATACACTAAATCATTTTCTACCTCGTTTTATCCTTGTCTGTGTACATGCCTGAGAAGCAGCATAGAGTAGAGGAAAGGCGCTCCAGCCATTGAGTCTACCTCCCAGCTCTGAAACCTCCTGGCCTTTCACCATGGGCAGGTCATTTCCTTCTCTGGCCCGGTGTGCTGGGCCAGCCCTCTGGGCTTTGAGGGGGATGGGCTGAGAGCACTGAGGAACTTGGCCTTCGAAAGAGAAGGTCAGCTCCGATGATGATGCTAGCTTTTGTCTTCTTAGCAGGCCTTAAGGGTCACAAAGAACCCTCATCATACACAGCCTGGGAGATAAGCAGTACAAGCCTTAGTATCTCCCTTTACTGGTAAAGAAACTAAGGCTCGGGGCAGCTAGGTGGTGCAGTGCATAGAGCACCGGCCCGGGAATCAGAAGGACCTGAGTTCAAGTCCGGCCTCAGACACTTGACACTTACTAGCTCTGTGACCCTGGGCAAGTCACATAACCCCATTGCCTAGCCAAAAAAAAAAAACAAACTATGGCTCAGGTGACTTAAGTGACTTGCCCTGGATGGCTTAGCACATGAATGCTGGCACCAGGGTTTGAACCTTTATCTTAGAACTGATATACCAGCACTCTCAAATGCCACATCCTCTAAGAAGGATCCTGTCATACCAACTAGTTGTCACCTCTTGTCCTAGGACCATTGATTTAGAGCTGGGGGGAGCTCAGAGATCATCTAATCCAACCTCTTCATTTTACAGATGAAGAAACTGAGGCCCACAGAAGTTAGTTAACCTTCCCAAGGGTGCACAGACCCTAAGCATCAGGGGCAAGATTTGAACCCAGGGCCTTTGATCCTAGAGGGATTTTTCATCTAGGCACCCAGAGCCATTAATCTGGAGTCCGCACAGTGCATATAAATTGTCAGTCTGTGTTGAAGTTCACTCTCTGCCCTAAATCCTATGAAAAACTCTGGTAAGTATAGATGCCCATCGATTGGGAAATGGCTAAACAAGCTATGGTGTGTGAATGTCACGGGAAGGAAAGGGAAGGGGGAGAAGTGAAGAAGGGAAGGAAAGGGAGGAAGGAAAGGGGAGGGGAGGGGAGGGGAGGGAAAGAAAGGGGAGGGAGGGGAGGGAAGGGAAGGGGAGGGAAGGGAAGGAAAGGGGGGGGAGGGAGGAAGGAAAGGGGAGGGGAGGGAAGGAAAGGGGAAGGGAGGGAAGGGAGGGAAGGGAAGGGCAGGGGAGGGGAGGGGAGGGAAGGGGAGGGGAGGGGGGAGGGGAGGGGAGGGAGGGAGGGGAGGGAAGGGAGGAAGGAAAGGAGAGAGGAGGGAAGGAAAGGGGAGGGGAGGGAGGGAAAGGAAGGAGAGGGAAGAAACATTTAGAGAGTGCCTAGCATGTGCCAGCCATGGCAGTAAGCACTCATTTAATGGAATTTTGCTGTCCTGTAAGAGAGATAATGCGTGCAACGAATGCAAAATCTCATGGGAAGACTTCTATAGCCCCAGGAGTAAGCAGAACCTGGCCAATATCTGCACCCGTGTAAGTGAGACAAAACAGTGGAAAATGAATTTAGTAGGTCAGTCAATAAACATTTATTAAGCGCCTACTATGTGCCAGGCAAAGAGTATAATGACCAAGCTTGTCTTCAGAGAACTAGAAGTGTGCCCTCATCTGCAGAGGCTACACCTAAGGCTGGGGGATGTTGCCCATAATGTCAGACTTTCACAACATGGAAATTAACTTTGTTGAATCAATTTTTTTTATCTTTTCTTTTTTGTAAGAGGTGGCTCTCTGGACCAAGAGAGAGAGGGATATATTGGGAAAGAGAATGATATAAAGACAAAATTTATGCACAATTTTAAGGAAAAGAAAAACTGTAAAGCTGAGGTCTAGAGGAAGAGCCCAGCTTCAAGGTCACGTGGATAGTAAGTGACTCAGGTGGGTTCTCATAAAACTCTGACTTGCCCAAGGTCACATATGGATCTGAAAGAGGGTAAGAGTCAGTCCCAAGGGCTTGGATGGGCTGGGCATTTGGGGTAAGCCAGGTTGCTGCAGGCCCTTGGTGACAAATCGTATTGGACTTCAATGCAGAAACAAAGATTTGGGATTTTTCATCTAGGCATTAGGGAAGCGCAGAAGGTTCCTCCTGGGAGACGTAGCGGGGAGGAGACAGACTGAAGGGAGGGCTGCAGGGTAGAAGGCTGATGCCCTAAGTAAGCTGTGAGGTGCCACCCAGCTCTCATCTCATCTAGGAAGCCAGGCCCCAGGGATACCTCCCGCCTTTGATTTTTCCAACTTACCAACACTCTGGCTTTAATAGTCAGAAGTCCACACCTCAGTAGACTATGAACTGGTGCCCTGGACTGACAAATAACCCACATACAGCAGGACCCAGGCCCTGGCATTTTGGGCACTCCCATCCCTGCCTGTGTCAGCCCAGGACAACACATAGTAGGGGCCTCACCCCCTGAATTTCCTCTCAGGACCCAGGCAGTCCCTCAGGCTTGGGCAAATCATAAATCTGGGCCCCAGAGACCCAAGGCTACCACCACTCTAGCCAGCCCGGGGAAAAGGGGCCATGAATGGGTGTCAGCTGTTGCTAGCAGCCACTAGAGGTCCGGGTGGTCACTGGAAGGTGATGGGAAGTTTCAGTCGAAGATGATCACAAGGGACTATAGACAGGCATGCTATGGATGGCAGGTTTGGGTTGGAGGGGGGGATTGACAAGCAAAGTCCTGGCACCTCAGACCTTGGACGAGATGACCTCCCACATTTTCAAACTCTGAGATTCTATGTAGGCTCCTGACTGACATAAAGGGGGTGGGGGCACTGTCTGGCCCCCTTTTTCAGTGCCCTTCACAGCTAACCCAAGGTCCAAGAACGAGGCAGAGTGGGCCTCCTTGGTCAGGAGGGTGGAGGGACTGGATCAGGGCCAAGGGGCAGGCCATTCCCTTTTATCAACTCCCCCACTCCCCTTCACCACCAAGATTACTGACCCTCCCCCACCTCAGGCCAAAGGGCAAGGGACAAGGAGAATGAAAAGTTCAGGGACCCAGGGGAACAAGGTGCTCTCATTCTCCCCCGCCAGCCACCCCATTCTGAGCCCCCTTTCTCTCCCAGGGAGTCCCCAGACTTTTCTTTCATGCTGTCCCACCGGAGCTGCATGCCTCAGCAGCTCTCCTTAGGAGCCGTCTTAGTGCCTTGTAGGATGAGGGCTGAGGCTGACGCCCGCTTCTGATGCCGCCACTTGGCCCGACGGTTTTTAAACCAGACCTGTGGGAGGGGGAGGGGGAGAAAGACAGGAAGAGCCTGGGCTCAGAACTGAGACAGCAGGTGCCTCCTTGATTTCCCTTCCTTCCTTCAGCGGGTTGGGGAAGAGGGCTCAGGGTGAACGTGGGATCTGCTTGCAAATCCCCCAGGGACTTCACAAGAGGGCTTCTGGAAAGAGATGTCCCACGATAGAACAGGGAGGCTGGGGGGCCTGCCATGGACTTACAGAATGGCATCCCTGGGAGGGACCTTAGAACAGGGAGTGCCCGAGCTGGGAGGGTCTTAGAGGAGGAGGTGTCAGGGACCTTAACAGATGAAGGGGGAGGAAGGGCATTGAGATGGGTGGGGGAGGGAGGAGCAGACGGGAGAAATGGAAGAGGGGCAGGAATGAAGAACTGGGGGGGGGGGAACGGAGGAGTGGGAGGAGGCGGGGGGGGGGCCCATGAGGTAGAATTGAGGGGCCTGAGCCCTCAGAGGTTCCCAGGCCCTGGCCTCCCTCTCCATGAGCTCCCTACCTCCACACGCTCCTCCTTGAGGTGGATGCGGTGAGCCAGCTGTTCCCGGGCCACCACATCTGGGTACTGGTTCTGCAGGAACAAGGCCTCCAGGGCCTGCAGCTGCTCCTCGCTGAAGATGGTTCGGTGCCGCCGGGTTCTTCTCTGCAGGGGCTGGAATGGGGGCAAGGTCCCAGTTGGGGGGCCCCGGGGCCCCTTGCACACCCGGCCTGTAGCAGGAAGCAGCCTCAGTGGCCAAGGAAACCTGGAATCTGGGAGAGGGAAACAAAGGCAGAGAGAAAGTCTGAGCTCCTGACCCACTGGCCAGGCGTGGGGGCCTTCTGGGGCCAATGTCCAAGTGGAAGCAGAGCCAGCTAGTCAAGCAGGTGGGAACACAGTGTCCTAGATCTAGGACCAAAAGACACCCCAGAGGGCATCAAATCAACTCTCTCCTATTTACAGCCAAGGAAACAGAGGCCCAGACAGGTTGGAGAACTTCCCAAGGTCAGGAAGGTCATAAGAGGCAGAGCTGGGATTTTAACTGATCTTCTGGACCCAAAGCCACTGGCTCTTTCCATGGAATTTCTCTGGGAGAGACAGACAGACAGAGATGGAGACATAGGAGGGAGACAGAGAGATACAGGGGAAGGAGAGAGAGAAATAAAGAGAGGCAGGGACAGATAGAGGACTCAGTGAACAGGGACAGAAAAAACAGACATGGGAGCTCAGAGACACAGAGAGGGAAAAACAGCATGAGAGAGAGGGCAAGAGACAGAAATGGTTTTTTTTGTTTGTTTTCAGGCAATTGGGGTTAAGTGACTTGCCCAGGGTCACACAGCTAGTGTGTGTCAAGTGTTTGGTCTGAGGCCGGATTTGAACTCGGGTCCTCCTGACTTCAGGGCCAGTGCTGTATCCACTGAAGAGACAGAAATATTAATGAGAGAGACAGAGGGAAGAAACATAAAAACAAACCAAGAAACACTGAGGTAAGCCAGACACGGAGAGAGATAGAGAGAATTGAAACTGAGAGACAGACAGAGACAGAGGGAGAGAGAGATAGAGGGAAGGAGGAAAAGGAGGAGAGGAGAGAAACAGAGAGAATGGGACAGAGAGATAGGACAGAGAAGGAGGGAAAGAGATGGAGGGAGGGAAAGAGATGGAGGGAGGGAAAGGAGGAGGAGAGGAGAGAAGGGGAGAGAGACAGAGACAGGAGAGAAAGATGGAGGGAGGGAAAAGAGGAGGAGAGGAGAGAAGGGGAGAACAGAGACAGGAGAGAAAGATGGAGGGAGGGAAAGGAGTGGGAGAGGAGAGAAGGGGAAAGAGAGAGAATGAGACAGATGGAGATAGGGGAGAGAAGGAAGGAAAGAGACAGAGTGAGGGAAAGGAGGAGGAGAGGAGAGAAGGCGAGAGAGACAGAGACAGGAGAGAAAGATGGAGAGAGGGAAAGGAGGAGGAGAGGAGAGAAGGGGAGAGAGAGAGAATGAGACAGATGGAGACAGGGGAGAGAGAGATAGAGGGAAGGAGGAAAAGGAGGAAAGGAGGAGAGGAGAGAAGGGGAGAGAGACAGAGACAGGAGGGAAAGATGGAGGGAGGGAAAGGAGGAGGAGAGGAGAGAAGGGGAGAGAGAGAGAATGAGACAGATGGAGACAGGGGAGAGAGAGATAGAGGGAAGGAGGAAAAGGAGGAGAGGAGAGAAAACAGAGAATGGGACAGAGAGATAGGAGAGAGAAAGAGGGAGAGAGATAGAGGGAGGGAAAGGAGGAGGAGGAGAGGAGAGAAGGGGAGAGACAGAGACAGGAGAGAGAGATGGAGGGGGGGAAAGGAGCAGGAGAGGAGAGAAGGGGAAAGAGAGAGAAAGGACAGATGGAGAGGAGAGAAAGGGAGGGAGATAGAGTGAGGGAAAGGAGGAGAGAGAGAAAGGGAGAGAAAGAGAGGAAAGAGAGGAGAGAAAGGAGAGAGACATAGAGAATGAGACAGAGACAGGAAAGAGAGAAGGAGGGAGAGAGGTAGAGAGAGGGAGGGAAGGAAAGGAGAAGGGGAGAGAGGCAGAGATAGAATGAGAGAGAGAGAGAGATTAGAGAGTGAAAAGAGAAAGAAGGAAAGAAAACCAAACACAGAGAGCCTGATGGGGCAGAATGGCGGGAGCCAGCAGTGCCAGAGACAAAGGCAGAGAGGAAGAGAAATAAACCGAGTTGGAGACCCAGAGCAGGGGGGATCGAAACAAAGATGGACAGAAGAGAACAAAAGTGAAAAACTGGAGTCAAAGGGAGTCAGGCAGTCTGGCAGTCAAGCATTTATGAAGCGCCCACTGTGTACCAGATGCTGTGCTAAGTGCTGGGGATACAGAAAGGGGCCAAAGACAGGCCCTCCCCCAGTCTGATGGGGAGATGACAAATACCTTGGACAGACAGGATACGCAAGGGGCCGAGGAGCAGTGACCGAGAGGCCAGTTGGACACACAGTCACGAGGAAGAACACGTGACCCCAGCGTGAGCCTCCTCGGGCTGGCCCGTGGGCGGCTGACCTCCCAGAGGGGGATGATTCTGTCCCTGAGCCCTGAAGATTGAGAGACCACCTGGGAAGGGGAAGTCCCTTCCCCAACTGGGGCTTCCTTGCCTCATCTATAAAATGGGATGATCATGCTTAGACTCCCTGCCCCTCTGGGTTGTTGAGACAAAAGTGATTTTCAGATCTTACAAGGCCTAGAGAGTTAGGCATTCGTATTATTGTCCTGGAGAAGCGGGGCCTGGAGGGCACTGAGTTGTCTGGATCCAGACTCCCCTCACTTTTCTTCTAGCTTGGCCCCTGGAGAGATTCCCAGCAGCACTGCTAGAAATGGAAGGGGGTGGGGGGGAGATGGAGGCATTGCTGGGGCAGAATGGCCCCTTCTCTCGGCCCCAGCCTTTTCATTCTGCTGAGAGGCAGCCTTGGAGTCAGTCTAGAGGCCTGGGGTAGCCTGGGATCTGCCATTAACTCATACAGTGTGACAGTGGATTCAGCAGTCTGAGTCTCAGTTTCCTTTCCTGCAAAATGAGAGGTTGGACTAGGTGATATCCCAGCTTTGGCATCCCCTGTTCTAAGGCCCCTCCAGCTCTGACATTCCATGTTCTAAGGCCCCCTCCAGCTCTGACATTCCTTGTTCTAAGGCCCCTCCCAGCTCTGACATCCCCTGTTCCAAGGACCCTCAAAGCTTTAATCTTCCATGGTCTACAGTCAAGGACCATACATGCTGCTATGCTAATTCCTTTCTCCAGCCCTCCCTGAGCACTGGGTGGGAGCTATGGCCCATCTGCTCCATGCTACAGAGAGGAGCGCTTCCCCAGGCTCCCCTCGGCAGCTACAGTGATAGAGGGTCCTAGAATGCCAGGACCTGGGGGACCTGAGCAATTATTCAGAGGAGGAGACTGAGTGTCCAGGGCCACTCAAGTTGGATTCAAATCGAAAGCCTCTGACTGCCTCTCTGGCACTGACATCAGGGCAAACTGTGGCAAGCATACTCACCCAGCCAGACAGCAGGCTCCTGCAGCCCATGGGGGCTGGCATGGTGGGCACAGCAGCAGCAAATGCCACAGGCTGCTGGGCCTGGCTCCCCCAGCTCCTCAGGGTCCTCAGGCAGGGCTCCAGGAGAGTGGGACCCCCTGGGTGGCTCAGGACTCTTGACCTGGGTCTGTGGGCCAAAGAGGGGCAAGGCCGGCGGAGGAGGGCTAGACAAGATGTGGTCGATGCTGAAGGGACATGGCCTTCCGAGGTTCCCCCGGCCTGGGACAGTCCTGCCAGCCAATGCCATGCCCCCCTACTGATGCCTGGATCCCAAAACACAAGGAGATTGGGGCCAACAAGCAGCTCCCAGCCCAGCAGACTCAGAGAGCCCCCAGAACCTTCCTGCTGCCTGTCAGCTGCAAGCCAGTTATTGTCCTGTCCCAGGGAGCCTTATGGTGTGGAGACCGGCAGGCATCGATAGGTATTTCTCTCCTAAGCTCCCAGCTTGCTGGCCGGGGGCTGTCTTAAATATCTATCTATCTCTTTATATATATATATATATATATATATATATATATATTGAGGGAGAGAGATGTATAATCCCTTTGGAAAGAAAACTCTAAGACCTCTGTGAATAAAAGAAATTCTCCCTAATCTTCATAGCTTTGTGTGGGGTTAGCGTGGATCTAAGATTTAGCTAATCCTCCCGAAATGAGTCCGGGAGGAAATCTCGCCTCTCCATCTCGAGTGGAGATTGGAGGTGGCGTTTGGGGCCATTGTGAGCAGCCTGGGTCCGAGGCAGCAGGAGAGAACTGTTCCCAGGCCAGAAATGGGCCCAGAGGATTAGCACCTTAAAAAACTCTGGCCATTATCCCCTGGGGATGGGAGGGAATTGTCACATCAGATGGCATTCGAGACAGGCAGAGAAAAAGACACCAGTCCGTACATGGTGGGGATACTTGTAGAGATGAAAACGTAGGCCAAGAAGCTGAGTGGAAGACACAGAGATAGTGAGAGAGACAGAGACAGTGAGACAGACAGAGAGAAACAGATGGAGAGAGAGATGGAGACAGAGGCAGGGAGAGAAATGGCAAGAGAGACACAGTGAGGGAGAACAAAAGAGAACTCCCTCATTTACTTTACCTCAAGAAAGTTAAGTGATTTGTCCAAGACCACACAGGTTAATAAATGTCGGAGGCAGGATTCAAACCTAGGGCCTCTGACTCCTAGGTATTTTTCCCTGTACCATGTTTCCCAAGGTAGTAAGTAGCCTAGTCAAGATTTGAACCCAGATCCAGCTGTCTTTCCAGACTCTAGAAAGTGACTGGATGACTGACTATTTCTCGGGGGTAATTGGGAACTGAATGAAAGAATGCTGAGCTAGGGCCCCTTCCGAGTCCTGGCTCTCCCACTTACCATCTGGGTGGCCTTCCTGGGGCAAATCCCATCTTCTGTTTTCCCCTTTGTAAAATGAGAGGACTTGGCTAGAAAACCCAAGCTCTGAGATTCCAAGGTTCTATGAGATATTGGAGCAGGGCGGTAGCAGACGTTGTGCTCCTCCTATGATGTGCCCCGTGGGCACAGGATGCCAACTCCCTGACCCAAATCCCACCTCCAGCACTTGCTAGCTGTTGTCCCCGGGCTAAGGTTTCTCATCTGTAAAATGGGGTTAGTACTACCACAGAATCTTGGAGTTGCAAGGGAATCAGAGGCATTTAGTCCGACCTATCCTGAGCCAAGGGCCCCATCTCCAACACTCCTGACAAGACCCCCTTTTATCTTTGTTTGGGGATATCCCTTCTGAGATGGCCCATCCCCGGTGGGGTGTAGAAAGTCTGTCCTAACATGGAGCTCAGATCTGCCTCTTTGCACCTCTTCCTTCACACCCCCTCGCTGCCGTGCTGCCTGAGGCCAAGCAGAACAAGCTCTATCCTTCATCTATCTATCTATAACACAGACAACCCTTTGGACCACTCAAAAACAGTGGTCGTGTGCCCCCTCAATCTTCTCTCTCCAGGCTAAATATCTGCCCAAGGCTGTTGTGAAAACCAGCTGACCTAGTGGCTGGATGACACTGGGTAAGTCACTTCCTTCTGTTTGCCTCAATCAATCAATAAGCATTTATGAAGCACCTACAGTTTGGCAGTCACTGTGCTCAGTACTGGAGATGCAAAAAGAGGCAGACGACCATCCCTGCCCTCAAGGAGCTTACAGTCCAACTGGGGAAGACAACATGAAAATAAATATATACAAAGCGAGCTATATACAGGAGAAATAGGAAGCAATTAGCACAGGAAGGTGCTGGAATTCAGAGGGGTTAGGGAAGGCTTCCTGAAGGAGGTAGGATTTTTAGCCGGGACTTAAGAAAGCCAGGAGGTCAGCAGTCAGAGTAGAGGAGAGAAAGGGCTGGAGGCTTGGAGAACTGCCAAAGAGAATAGCCAGGCCCAAAGACGGGTCTTGTTCATGGAGCAGCCAGGAAGCCAGTGCCTCTGGACCAAGAGTCCGAGGTAGACAGTAAGGTGTGAGAAGTCTGGACAGGGGGCAGCCAGGTGGCACAGTGGACAGAGCACCGGTCCTGGGGTCAGGAGGAGCTGAGTTCAGATCCGGGCTTACTAGCTGTGTGACCCTGGGCAAGTCTCTTAACCCCATTGCCTAGCCACAAAAAAAAAAAAGTCTGGAAAGGTGGGAACGGTGAGGTTATGAAGGGCTTTGAATGCCATATTTGAGCCCAGAGGTGACAGGGAGCCACTGGAGTTTATTTGGGGAAGGCAGAGATGACATGATCAGACCTGCATTTTAGGAAAATCCCTTTAGTTGAATGGAGGCTGGGCTGGAGTGGCAGAGCCTTGAGCCAGGCTGACCCCCCAGCAGCCATTGCAATAGGCCAGGTGTGAGGTGAGGAGGGTCTGCGTCAGGGCGGGGGCAAGGGCAGAGGAGAGGAGAGGGCACGTTAGAGAGATGCTGTGAGGGTGACATTGGTGGACCTTGGCACCATATTGGGTATGGGGGATGAGAGATAGTGAGGAGTCCACGATGCCTCCTAGTTTGGGAGGCTGCTGTTGTCCTCTATGGTAATAGGGACACTTTGGTTTGTTTTTTGATTAGGCAATGGGGTTAAGAGACTTGCCCAGGGTCACACAGCTAGTGTTATGTGTCTGAGGCCAGATTTGAACTCAGGTCTTCCTGAATCCAGGGCCAGTGCTCCATCCACTGTGCCACCTAGCTGCCCCAATAGGGACACTTTGGGAGGAAAGATGATGTCTCAGTTTCCTCATCTGTAAAATGGGGATGATAATAGCACCCGCCTCCCAGAGTCATTGTGAGGATAAATGAGGTAATAGTTATAAAGTTATTTGCACAGTGCCTGGCACACAGTAGGAGCTGCATAAATGTTAGTTATTATTATCATTACTGCTTTAGATGCTGCCAGGGGGTTGGTCACGAGAATTTTCCAGCTCATTTGATGAGCTTTCGGGGACATGAGCCTTTGGCTGGGTCTCTTGGCTCTGGCGGTTATAGACGTGCTCCTTGGTGCATGAGGCTCCATGATTACAGAGGAATCAGTTGGCTCTGACTGCCGTGGGATGGTGAGTGGTGAGAGGGGTCCATGAGAGTCTGAATCATTGCATTTTTGGTGATGGTGTCTTTCACCAGAGTTGGGAACAGACCTGACCTGGGTCCTGAGAAGCTGATGGCCACTGTGGGACAAGGAACATGGTAGCCGTGAAAATACTGTTTTTTTTTTATTTTGTGAGGCAATTGGGGTTAAGTGACTTGCCCAGAGTCACACAGCTACTGAGTGAAAATTCTTGAACCTTAGCCTCCTATATAGAAGAAGGCAAGACCCGAGTTTGACTCTCATCTCTTATATCCTCTGTGTAATTCTCTGCAAGCCAATTAACCCCTCTGGGCTTCAGTTTCCTCATCTGCAAAATGGGCATAATAATAGCACCTACTCTACAGGGCTATTGGGAGAATCAAAGGAGATAAGATATGAAAACAGCTTTGAAAACCTTAAGGCACTACAGAAACACTAGCTATTGTTATTTTCTGGACTGTGAGAATCTAGAATCTGGACTTCTAGCTGGAAAAAGCAGATTGACAGCAACGGCCTTGGGAGTTGCCCGGCTAGCAATGCCACGTTGGAGCGTCTTGGGATGCGCTTTGACTGCAGGATGCCAGTTGGTCTCTGAATGGGTTCAGCCACAGATTTCTCTTGGATATCTTTACACTCAGTTCCTCTTGTCTGGAGGGAGAATGAGGCTATTCGTCGGTGTTGCCTTATTCCAATGGTCCTATTTGACCTTGGGAGTCAAGCCTTTCGTCTCTGTCTTTCCTGGGTATATATTAAGCATTTCACACTTATTTTGAGATCATTGGAGAAGGATTTGACCAGATGAAAGAAGTGTTTGATTTGTTTTTCACTGAAGTCCTATAACATGATGTTACCCAAATTGTAGTTATTATTTGTTTGTTTCAGTTGTATCTGACTTTCCGTGACTCCCTTTGGGGTTTCCTAGTAAAGATACCGGAGTGGTTTGCCATTTCCTTCTCCAGCTCACTTGACAGATAAGGAGACTGAGGCAAACAGGGTGAAGTGACTTGCCCAAGACCACACAGATAGTTAAGTATCTCAGGGCAGATTTGAACTCAGGAAGATGAATCTTGCTGACTCCAGACCCGGTGCTCTGTGCACTATGGCACCACCTAGAGGCTCTGTTATCCATGAACACTGAATGAATTATGAGACCTTTCGGTTCTATTCACCCTTTAATTTGGAAGTCATCCTTAGCTCTTTTAAGAAGAGATGATCGTGGAGTTGTAGCAAGTGTAAGGTCTGGCCTTCTCTCACAAGGCCCTGCACAGTCCCAGGGGATAATCCTGAGGGGTCTCTGGGCAGGTATCACTCTTCCCTGTTGCTGTAATCTCAAAGCCCCACCAGTTGTCTTCCTTCTATTGTTAGGGGCCTATGATTAGCATCCCAGTTCCATTTAATCACTTATCATTGACCAGTTTTTATAAATGAATAATTACTTCAAAGCTTTAACAAGGTCGAGACAAGGACACCTATTATCACCATTATATGCTGTCAGTCATGTCTGACTCTTCATGGCCCCATTTGGGGTTTTCTTGGCAGAGATACTGGCGTGGTTTAGCCATTTCCTTCTCCAGCTCATTTTACAGATGAGAAAACTGAGGCAAACCAGGTTAAGTGACTTGCCCAGGGTCACACAGCAAGGAAGTGTCTGAGACCATATTAGAACTTAGGTCTTCCTGACTCTGGGCCTGGCACTCTAACCCCTGAGT